GGTCTCACTGAGTTGCTTATCGCCTTGATTTTGCTGAGGCTGGCTTTACACTTGCGATCCTCCTGCCTCAGCCTCCAGAGCCACTGGGATTACAGGTGTGCACCACCACGTGCTGCCTGTGAGATAACGTTATGTCATTCTTTTTAAACCCCAAAGTTTGTGGGAATTTGTGGCAGCAGTGACAGGAAGCCCACACACCTCTGTCACCAGCACATGGGCTCTGGGCGGCTGGTGCTGCCTCGTTGTTGGCACTTGCCTCCCCCGGTGCCCTGAACATGCCTGACCTGAGGTGGCAACTGGCACGTTGATCTGCTGGCTGGAGAGCCTGGACGGAGGCAGATCCCTGGCTCAGGCTGGCCAATTAGATTTCCCTGTCGTGAGACGCTGTGGTTCAGACCTGCCTGCACACTTGGCTCTGGCCAGGGTAAGCAATGGGAGACCTAACRGGAAAGACCCCGACACCACCCACGGGAACAGCGCCTTCCAGGGACTTCCCTCTGACTCCTCCTTTTGCCCCCCTCAGACTGCCCTGTCTCACAAGTGCTGTGTTGTCCTGGAGCCACCCACTGTGATGCTCAACTGGAGGGGTTCATACAAATCAGAGTTGCTGTCCCCTCCTCCCTCAGAAACACAGCAGGTCAGCTCAGACAGTTTATTGAGGGACCCAGGAACCACGAGAGGAACGTTCCAGGCATCTAGCATCTGCTGGAATCCATCTCTTCTGCATTTGAGGTGGGGTGCATGGCACTCACACATCAGTCCCCCATGGGCAGCCACAGGGCCTTCGTCCGTGCTGCCCGCAACGCCAGCTCTGGGCCTGCCCCCTCGGCCTCCTGATCCCAGGCCCGCGGGCAGCCTCTGTTCACCCACACAGGCTTGAGGTTTCCTGCTGAGGCCCACTCCACAAACTGGGAGCCCTGGGATGGGGACAGGATAGGATTAGCACTGCCAGAGGCTTGGTTGCTAAGCAGCTGCTTCCTTAGCAATGAGGATTCTTTGGAGAGACCTCAAGGTTTGACC